GTGGGGAAAATCTAACACACACACACACGGACACAAAGACTGTATAAGCCCAAGATCTGAAGTAAAATGAACAGGAATATGAAGCTCTGAAGAGAAATGCACAGGAGCATACCTTCCCTTTTACTCTGCCTCCTGAAATAACGTGCAAGTGGGCYGYGAAGGCACACGGGKATGTGGGCAGCTGCCGCTCAACCACAATCAACTTGGGCAGCCTTGTGCGTAAGAGGCACAGTAAAAGGGGAGCTGCAAGAACAATGCAAGGGGTACCCCAAGGACAACCAAAAAACTGTCTAATTATAAAATTGCTTTAATATTGCAATGAACCTGTACTTTTGTCACTTGCTGGAGTGTACCAGATAGCATGCATCTAACACAGATGACACATATTGCAATGACTCACATGAAGTTCAATGGAAGATGAGTGGGAAACAGGAAGCATAACTCAATTATCATAACCAGATTAAGAAAGAGAATCACGTGTTCAAATTGTATAGCGCCCAACAGAATTACAAGTCCTCTTCATCCAACAAGGCCTGGCGCTCAGTGGCGCCAGTTGCAATCATGAAGGATGGCGCTCCACAAGTAAGTCACACCATAGCTCACTTCTCTGTCTCCTCTTCTTCTGTCTATAGTCCTGGTCTACTCACACTCACCATGCATGCACACTCCCTATCTCATGAGGATCTACTTTGAATACTACTCACTGGCTCTCTCTACTGACTATTCTTACTACTAACGCTAACTAGCACTGGCGCAGCTATGGCTGCCTTCCTCAGCCAGCGCCCAACTCTCTCTCTTCCTTCAGCGTAGCTCTCAAGCCTAGCGCTGCTCAATCACATCTGGCGCACAAGTGCCTTCAGCACTTCCACACTCTCATGCGAATGAGTATCTGCTGAATGGGGAGGCTGGCCAGTCCTTTATAGCGCTGGACTGGTCTGGCGAGGTCTGCTTTCGGCCTCCAAGTGCCTGGGACTCCTGCCCAGTACCTGTTTTTGCAAAGTGTGTGTCCCAGTACCCTTTCCCATGCGCTGCCTGCTGCTTTGGCCGTCGGGCCTGTCTTTTGGACTCCTTGTCTGAGTCAGAATTAACTCGTGGGGCTGTGACTGGTCTGGGACTGTGACCTCTGTCTTACTGCCGAACAGACATGACCCTATCTCAGTCTTAAAATTTGAACCCAGTACCTATTCGTCTAGGATCTGACGGTGACTATTCAAAACGACTTTTCATCTCACACTGGATGCGACATTTGCCTCAGGGAACTTGTCTTTTGGGATGCTGCTCGCAAAATTGATTTCTGGCCGGGAGGGCCCTTTTATGTTGGGGTCACATTTACAGGTCTGAATAGTAAAGGCCCTTTTACTATGTTGGACATCTCAAATGCTCTCGTTGTCTGCAATAGGACAAAGACTGCTTTGATTCTGAATCTATTCATCTGGGTGGAATTGGGGCTATTGCGGGGAAAATCTATAACACACACACACACACACACCAACGCACACACGCACCCATGCACGCGATGCGCGCACACACACGAAGAGAGAGAGAGAGAGAGAGAAGCGAGAGTGAGGCAGTGCTTGTTAGAGATGTGTGGGTTCAGCAGCTCTCCTTTCAAGGCTGTGGGATTTGCATCTGTGTTTTTCCTGTGTCATCTTGTGGTTTACGCTCCTCTCTCTTGTGCCAGTGTATAGTGCAGAATCTGCAGATAGTTCTGAAAGTTGTGGCTGGTCAATCCTGTTTCATTTTGGAGCAGGGCTGTTGTTGTGCAATGAGTTGGCACTTGGAATGAGTTGGTAGTGTGTGGATGTGTGCCTGTGCTGCTTGTGTTCGACAGGCAGGTTCCTTTCAACTGCAACTCATGATAATCCTCTGATGTACTGAAACAGCTTGCACGATGTGTTTCTTGCAGGAACTCAGAATGTTATTGATGCATGCCTCGAGGCAGGTGTTAAGAAACTTATCTACACCTCATCTGCATCAGTTGTTTTTGATGGAGTTCATGATATCAAGAATGGAGACGAAAGCTTGCCTTATCCAGAAAAGGTGAGCCCTGTGGAAT